CACTCACAGCAAGAAAGTAGCTAGTTTAAGTCCCGGCTGGATCAGTTGGCATTTCTGTGTTTACATGTTCTCCCTGTGTTTGCGTGGGTTTCCTTCGGGTGCTTCAGTTTCCCCCAAAGTCCAAAGACATGCGCTATTGACCTTATTTAGCGATATGGGAGTGCACTCGTTTTTGTTTTAGAACTTCTGAATCAGTTGCCTATGGGAGAAATGACTAAGAATACTAAACGGCAGTAAACAGTCAAACTACTTGCTCTACAAACAAGTGTTTGCATGTTTATAAAGACTAAGTAAAATAATATAATAAGAAATATAAGTTTGCAACATCAAGCAGCATAACAAACTGTTTTTAACCTCTAAAAATGAATGGAAGTGAATGAGACCGGAAGTCTCGAGCCAAAAAAAATTTTAAATGGCTGTGTCTGCTTGTACACAAAGAATAAAGTAAATAGGTAAATTAAATAAACTAAATTGGCTGTTGCGTATGTTTGTGCATGTGAGCGTGTATGGTAGTTTGCCAGTACTGGGTTACAGCTGGAAGGGCATGCACTGCATTAAACAACCCCTAATAAACAAGCAACTAAGCCGAAGCAAAATGAATGAATGAATGAATGAATGAATGAATGAGTTCTGTTATATGCTTTTGCATTTCTTTCTTTCCTTCTTTCCAAATTTAGTTTTGGTTATTAATTTCCAGTGTTATCGTGAAGTGAGCAACAATCTCAACCAAAAGTGTGATTTATTTGCAAATCAGATGTTTATATGTGTAGTTTTGAGTTGTATCAGTCATATGGATTGGAACAACACGAGATTTATGACAGAATCTTGTTTTCAGATTGTTGTTACTCTTTAACTTGTTTACGTAATGGTCTTAATTTTGCCAAGGACTGCCAGGAAACCCTGTTAGACATCAGTGTGTGTGGGAGTCTCATGGTGGTTGTGTTTTCTGTGTGAGTGGCTGGTTCACGGTAATGTATACGTGGTCTGCTGACGCAGTTCAGTAGGTCAGTTAACACAGCAATGATAAGCATCTTCGTCCCTCTCTCAATTTTGTTCACACAGGCACATGAACTCTGGCTCTGGTTTTGTTTGTCAGGCATTTTTGAGATCAGACTTGGTGTCTATTATTGGCATGGTTTCACAGGCAGAATGACGCTGTGTGAGTGTCATTTGCTTATTCTGCATGATCTTTTGACTTTGATGACAGTTTTGGCTGCTCATGAAAAACTTTTAGATGGGTGGTATATTTCTGTATAAAATATTATGTTAATAGTCTGAAAATCAAGCTAAATATGTTTAAAGATAGTTAGTTCACCCAAAAATACAAATTCTGCCATCAATAATTCACACTTTACTTGTTCCACAAGAATGTTGCACATCTGTAACCATTGACATCCATAGATGTAAAAACAAATACTATGTATCTCGATGGTTACTGTTCTCCTACATTCTCCAGAATATCTGCTTTTGCATTCATCCAGACAACAATAAAAAACTCAATCCGTTTTAAAACAGCTCAAGGGTGAGTTAATGATGACAAAATTAATTGTTTTAGTTTGAACTATCTCTTTAAAATGTAATTATTATTAAATGTAACAAACAAAAAGACATAATGACAAGGTTTTTTTAGCAAGAGACACCCCAAAGTATTATCATAATTCAACTGTCTCCTTTTGAGTTACCAAAAAATAATCACAGCATATTATGAAGTCATCCCCCCACCCACCCCCCTCTTTTTTTTTCAATTATTGCAACATGGATTGTTTTTGCTCAGCGTGCTCATGTTTAGTCTACTATTGCCATGTTTTAGTGGCTTTCTAATGCTCACAATTGGCCTCTTGCTGTTTAATTGTATTTTGTGTGTATGTATTTGTGAGGATGTTGAGATCTCCTCTCTGCTAAGCCTCCTCTCCTGTGCTCTGGACTTCCAGTGTTTAGTCTAGCTTCCATCTGTCCGCCACGTTCGCTTCTGAGTGTTTCTTTCAGGCCTCAGTCCACCCATCCTGTCAGTGCCTTCTTGTGTGATTCTATGATTAGCTTGATAAACCGCATTGGTTTTGAGTGTGTCAAGATTAGGTTAGGTTAGATTCAACTTTATTGTCATTACACATGTACAAGTGCAAAGCAACGAAATGCAGTTCAGGTCTAACCAGCAGTGCAATAGCAGCAAGTGCAAGATATAGGTATGTTATAAAGTGCAGTATAGAAAAACTAAGAGTAATATTTACAGATGGATGTCAAGCAGTAATGGTCTTAGCAGTTTCTTGATTTCTTTTTTTAGTATTATTTCCCATACTCATAGTATGTTCTGCTTCTTTATCCCTACATCCTCGGTAGTTGCTGTAGCAGCTCTTTTGGCTGTAGTGGCCCAAAGGTGAACCCAGAGCTGAAAATAAACACTAATGATGGGAATTTTGTATTAAATTTATAATTTATAAATATGTTTATATATAATTTTTGTACAATTTTGTGTCCCACTTTATATTAAGTGTCCCTAACTACTATGTACTTACATCAAAAAATAAATACAATGTACTTACTGTGTTTATAATGTATTTGAGAACACTTGTGGTGCCTTTGAGTTGGGATAGAGGTTGGGTTATGGACAGGTTTGGTGGCATGGGTAGGTTTAAGGGTGGGTTAAGGTGTAAGGGATGGTCAACAGTGTATTTACAAATGTAATTACAAAAGTTAATTACACATGTAACTACATACAGGTATTTAATCAACCATAAGTACACAGTAAATACATGTATTTACACAATAAGTACATTGTAACAAACTATTAATTCCTATGTAAGTACATATTAGTTAAGGCCACTTAATATAAAGTGGGACCCAATTTTGTCCTTTAATACAAGCAGTCAGATATATGCTGTACCTTTAATTTTACCTGCTCCAAGAAAACATTATTTTTAAATGTATCAAACAAAACTAAAGTACATGCACAGAACAACATGAGCATTTATAGCAAATACACAAATGTAAATAATATCCCGCTTGCTTTTTGTACGAGTTCTTAAATTCCGTGATTGATCATGTGCTTAACAGAAAAGGCTACGATTGGCTCTAACGGTCAGTGTGGCTGTCTAGCAAACTCAAAAGCAGTAAACTATGCACAGTTATCTGCTTTTTAAGTTGTTTTAATTACTCACGGTCTTCTCTCTCGCCATAGTAAGCTACCGCCATGTAACATATCACAAATGACGCCAGTTCATAATAACAGGTTATGATATTACAGAACCAATACCAAATTGTTCATGTCTGCATCATGGTGCATCGAAGAAACGATTTTGACACTTCTAGATTCCAGACAAGAAAGGCAATTACAATTCACCAATCAGAGTCAGAAAAACCGCTGCGAGCTTCACTAATTCGTAGTGTTTTAAAGACTAAATGTTTGCACCTTCGCACAGTTTTTAAAGATTGTGCAACCCTAGAATACATGCAAAATGGTTCTTCACATACTGTATTTTCAATGGTTGTTCATACCACTGAGCACAATAGGTGCCTTGTACACTACTAATTTTTTGTCTTCAAATTCAGATGTTTTGTTACAATTTATGCTACTCCAGCATTTTAGACCTTTGAAAATGGAGTGTTTTGAAAATCTCCATTTTGGTTTGGAATTTAGAAATAGACATGGGACGATAACCGATGTAAAGGTTTACAACGGCTTGGAAAAGTCAAGGTTTTAAAACCGCTTAAGATTCTGTTATACTGCCCCAAAGGTATATGTAACTTTTTAAAATGTGTTTTTTATGTTTTATAAAGAAATCAGTGTTTTTAAAACTGTTGAAGATAGCAGAGTTCAATTATTTATTTTACTGTTCTATATTGTGTTCAATGGGGGAAAGACTGTTGGTTGTTGGTTAACCAGACATTTAAAAAGAACATATTTTAGAGCAGTAAAATACCATGAAACCGTGATTTTTAACAGTATCATACCATCAGAAACTTATACCGGCCCTTGCCTATTTGGAAATGCTAATGTTCTGTTTCAATGTAGACTGAAACTCTGGCTTTTCAACTATTGGTTTTTGGACTATTGCATATCATTTCTTGATTCATTAAGCCCCTTTCATGGAATCATTAGACAACTGGTAAACTGCATGTATGGATGGAGTCATATGTACATGCACATGTAGATGGAGATTGTTTTCAGACACCAATAAAAATGGCTGTCTGGATGAGGAGATTTTGTATCTTAAAATGCTTTTTTAAAACAAAAACAAAACTGCAGTTGGTGTAAACAGTACCAGAGAATGACTATATGCAGAAAAGAAATCCTGGAATGTTCTCCTGATAAACTTCAATTTCTTTTTGACTGAGGAAATGGAGAAATTAACACCTTGGGTGACAAGTGGGGAAGCAAATTATCAGGAATTTTTATTCTGGAATTGAACTAATCTTTCAATGATGGGTGCTTTGAAATAATTTGGGTTTAACAAAAGTTTTATTTGATTTGACCATTTTGAAAAGCCTTTACAGGCCTGTTATTGTTCCACTGGTAGAGTTTGGGGTCTCTAATAAGTGTGCTGGGTGTTATTTGAACCACTTTTGCCCAGACATTTCACCTTTGACCAAAATCCTCTTTGTGTTGGAGAGTAAGTGTGATCGATGTGGCCATTATTAGCGAGCCGCCACCCCTGGTGGGTGACCTAAAAAGCTGGGGTCTGAAAGCAGGGGGCAGTCAGGGGGTCATGGTTCCATCCCCCTCCGTCTGGAGGACAGTCTCACTCCTAATTGGGTTTTTCAGAATTGGAGGACAACAAAGACCAAGGGAGAGTTTTTCAGCCTAGAGGAATTTTGTGGAAATTAAATTAGATGCAAGACATTTTTCCTTCAAAAGGCTGGGACGTTTATTGATTTCATTACTCAAGAACAGATTATTAGCTGTTGGGAACTGAACCAACTGTTTTTATTCTCTGTAAGTGACTGTCATGTGCCTGTGTTTGGGATCGTATGCTTACATCTGTTTACTTTCTTTTCACGCACAGCGGTCGAGTGTTTACATTGGACTTCAGTGCCATGCGAGTTTGTGACCTGGAGTTTGACCTCGTCAGGCGTCTGTCCACACCCTCTAGCTCCACAAGCACAACCACGCCCACAAACACAAGCCCCACCCCCAACTGCCTGACCGTGTGGAAGTACTACTGTAGAGATAACTTTGGCTGGAGGGAATATTCCGAGGTGAGAGACTTTTCTTGCTTTTAAATGTGCAAAAAGATCACCATATCTATACACTGCCATACAGTTTGGTGCATGGTCAGGAATTTTTTTCTTTTTTATTTGTTTTGATTTATTTATTTATTTGTTTGTTTTTTAGTGTTGTTTTCATAGAGAGAGATATAATTTATTCGGAAAGGAAACACATGTGGATGTATATGTATACATATGTATGTGAGTATATATAGATAAAAAAAATACATATTATTATTATTATTTTTGGATTCATTCAGAAAGGACACATTAGTTTGATACATATACAGGGCTCGAAAATGCGACTGTTTTGGTTGCATATGCGCCCGAAATTTAAGCTATGCGACCTCATAATACATTTGGGAGCATTTGTGCGACTGCATATAATGGTTGTAGTGCGACCTGTTTTTGTTTTTTTCTAAAAACGTGCTGAATTGCTCTTCCATGCCGCTATATCAGTTCATATCAGCTGTCAATCACTCAAGGGAGCTTTTGTTACCGCGGTGAATGCAAACGACTGAAGAGTGAAAAGTACACCTAATCTCGGTGCGCTAAATTCACTGCGTGTTCAGCGCAAAATGTTTGCTAAATGTCAAATCTAACACCATCGCCAAAGAAGCTCGCCTTTACTAAGGCCCCGTTTACACTAGTGCGTTTTAGTTTTAAAACGGCGTTGTAGAATGAAAACGATCCGCGTCCACACTCGCGTTTTACCCAGCGTTTCTGAACAGCTCTCCGTCCACACCAAAACGCTGAAAACGCACATCACGTGACCACACACACACTCTCGGGCAAGCGCTCCAGCATTTCTACCCAGATGAGTGCTCTGCTTGTCGGACTGCTCATCAAGCATCTCCCGCTGGATCTAATCTCACTATATTTGCTAAACGTGATATTTCATTCATGTTGTTGTCTTTATCTAACGAAATAGGCCTATTCCCTGACTTTGGTCATTGAAATCTATTAAGTTACTTGTTCACGGGTAACATGTTTTGGTTAAGCGCAAAGATAAGTTAATGATTAATCCAGGTACATTGACTGATCGCTTGCCTTTATTTCCTACAATGTATAAACTTATTGTATGTTATACTTTTATAATTATCGATTATTAAAACTGATATTCAGCAAAAGAGAGGGTGTGTTTCGTATTTTCACTGAAATTGAAAGGAGGCAGTTGTTATCGGCTCCGTTTTGTTATAAATATCCACACAGTGAAGATGACGCTCATATATGCAGCACGGCGCCTCAACATTTCTGCTGTCTGTTTAGTTGCTAATATTAAAAAGAAAATAGGCAGTTCCTTAAATCATGTTTACATTTTATTGTTGAGAAAGTGAAACAACGTAGCCAAGGTGATGTGAATGAAGTTATAAAGTACACTGTTCCCTTTGAAGATTTACCCGTGTCCTCGGTATGTTTTCCATATCAAACTGAGAAGGGGGAGACTGCAGCCTTGATCAAACTTGCGAAGTCTTAACTAACAAGAAGAGGATGCGAGACTGAACTGTGTGTGGGCTACTTAATATTGAGGAAAAGCCCCAATCAGATAGGCGAACGTTTGCAGCCCCGCTTCCGTTTTCAGATGTCTCCGTCTTTCCCCATCCACACTGAGACGGAGCAACAGCGTTTTAGAATGAAAACGGCCTCTCCAGCGTTTTCGAAACGCTCCGTTTTCGGCGCTCAAGAACTCCGGCGTAGTGTGGACTGATGGCGTAACCATAGCAAAACTTATGCGTTTTCAAACTAAAACGCACTAGTGTAAACGGGGCCTAAGTTTAAACTGATGTGGCTTATAACAAAGAACAGTATTACGCCATTGGGCATTGGGAGAATCCTGCTCTGCCCCCCTCATATATTAGGTCGGCTGACTCGGCCGCTTTTTTCTACAAACAAAAAGAAATGAAAATCAGCTCATAATGAGACTGAGCGTTTAAAAGGACACAAACCGAAACCAGAACTTTTAAAAGTGAGACTTTTCTTCTTTTCTTTTGTCCATTCTTTCTTGAGATGTATATAATTTTTCTGTTTATTCACTGATGACTGCTTTGCAGCTTTCAGCCTTAAATCGAATGGTTTATTATAATCTTTCGTTTGTTTTTGTATTTATTAAATTGACATGCATATAAAAACAATAGTACAAAATAAATATTTCCTACTGCAATGCTTCATTTGCGTTTGATGCAAACCATAATCATTGTTAGTATTATTGACATCATCGTCATTATTAATATTTTATAGTTATAAGACATTAATTTTGCAATTATTGCACAAATGTTAGTTCATCACAGCATTAGTTAGATAGTTGTTTCTAGTTTTTGTTAGTCCTAATTGATGTTATTTTCAAATACAATAAATCCCTTATTATACAGTTTGCAGTGGTGCTTCAGGACTTCAGGATGGATTATGTAATACTGTAGCTTTTACAAGAATGAATTATATCTTAAAGTAATTTCTCACATTAAATCTGAACATTAAATCTAACCTTGTGAATTGTAGTTTCAAATAGTTTTTGATTTTGGTTTGAAATTAAAAAATAAACCTGATGTTACAGATTTTATGAGCTCCCCATATTTTGAAATAGCACATATTGTGCACAAAAGCAACAGATTTGTTCAGTTCTCAAGAGTTAGAATGTGTGTGCGGCTGGCTCAGTGTATAAACGTGTGATCGCATTGTGTGTTCGGTCTCAAGTCGAGCTGGCTTGCACAAACCAGAGACGTCCTGTTCTACTCAGAAGTGCCTGACATCAGAACATTGGATAAGCATTCCTTTGAAAACAAAGCTTTTTATTTCCTGTGAAAATCTCTTATGATGGATACATTCTGACCAGTGCTCCGGATGAATTGAATGGGAGTTGGAGCACATTTAAATGTCCTGTTGTTCCCTCTCTCTTTCTTTGCGTAACTCATTTCCTCTCTGCTTCTTCATCCCACAGCCGGTGGTTCGGCTGATTGAGGAGGCCAGTGGTCGAGGTTTGAAGGAGGTCCGTTTCATCACGCTGCAGAATCAGTACATCCTGAACATTCGTGAGGGCTTCCAGCAGAATGCTGTATTTGGGTTCCGCAGACAGATTAAAAAACGGCCGCTGTTTAGGTCCTCCATCATGCTCACGCCTTACCTCCAGTAAGTAACTTCATATTTACCTTCAGTTGCAAACAGTGTCCTAAATCTCTTGTTCGACAATCCTTATTTCTTATTGAACATCCCATAATTACCAACTTGGTACCATTTTGTTTTCCTCATAATATGAAAATCATATGAGGCAATGGCTCCCATTCACTAATAAATGTTACAAGTATGACTGTTTAGAGCACATGCTGCAATGTCTTTAATAAAGATGTAACAATATGAAAAGTGTCATATCATTAGTGACAGATATGATTACGGTTTTCAGTATTATCATGGTTTTGCTAAAATGACCTGAACATTTTCTAAAAATAAATGTCACACACAGCATCCCACCAAGTTTTGTATTTGAAAATGAACAAATATCAAGTACAATTTGCAGCTTTATGCAGGTTTGTGAAAAACATAAACATGGATGCCTGCATTTTGGATTTGTTTACTTATGCTTGTATTATTTTATGTACGTTAGTTTCTATAGGTACACTTGATTTTCTTATTTTCTTATCTTAAGTTATTGTTTAACTTGTGCTTTGGAAACTATGTCATGGGGATTTGTTTGCCTTGTTTTTTTTTATTTTATTTTTTTTTTTAACAAAACTGCATAAAGCTGCTTTATAAAAGCTGAAATGGACTGTGCAACTTAAAGAAAACATATTATTGTATTTTTTATGACTGATATTGCAATTTTAATTTTGTGAAGTCTTGCTTCAGCTTGTTATTGCCAATAATATAAGGGGTAGAACATACTTTACAATATATATAAATATTTATAAATATTTATTACCTGTCTACATAAACATATAATTGCATTGAAGCCTATACTGATTAACTAATTGCTAATAGATTTTCTATAAATTTTCAAACTCACGAGAATAAATCATGGTTTTAATGATAATGAAGTTTTAAAATGGTAATACTAAGCGTCAGAAAATATGTGTGATTTACCTTAAAAATTGGTTAACAACACTAGTCTTCAAGCAGTACCAAGTGTGCCATTCCTCCAAACTTAAGGTGAGACACGAGATACACTGTTTACATAAGGATAGATCAGGTAATTGTTGTTTGGAACTTTAATAGATTATAAACAGTTGAAGTCAGGATTATTAGCCCCCTAAATTATTCACCCCCCCATTTCTGTTTAATGGAGAGAAGATTTTGTCTACACAATTCTAAACATAATAGTTTCAACAACTCCTCTCTAATAACTGATTTATTTTATCTTTGCCATGATGACAGTAGATAATATTTGACTAGATATTTTTCAAGATACTTCTATCAAGCTTAAAGTGACATTTAAAGGCTTAACTAGGTTAATTAGGTTAACTAGGCAGGTTAGGGTAATTAGGCAAGTTATTGTATAACGATGGTTTGTTCTGTGGACTATCAGAAAAAAATATAGCTTAAAATTTTGACCTTAAAATGGTGTTTAAAAAATTAAAAACTTCTTCAAATCTAGCCAAAATAAAACAAATAAGACTTTCTCCAGAAGAAAAAAATATTATCAGACATACTGTGAACATTTCCTTGCTCTGTTAAACATAATTTGGGAAAAATAAAATAAAATAATAATAAGGGTAGCTAATAATTCTGACTTTAACTGTATCTATTTATATAACTGGAGCACTGATTATACTGTATTATACATTTTTATGTCTAGTTATTTTTCAATCACCCTGCAAATAATATTTCTTATTATACAGTATGTAGTGTAAAAAGTTATACCTTTTTATAAGGGCCAGGGTGTACATTATTGTGTAGGTTTGGTATAAGTTGTTTATTCGTGCATTTAGAATAAATATTAGGGCAAACGTTTTTAATGAAACATTGTTTATTGGTGAAAGCGTTAGAATGCACATTTCACACAAAATGTACGTTTAGTGAACAGGACCCAACGTTCTCTGTATGTGTGCCGAAATCCCAAGACAGCTCGCGAGCAGTTCACCGCTCACCGAGATCATGTTGGACACTGCAGTGTGTATATCTCATTTTAATTGCTTGAAGTACTGCTTGTCCTTCCAGTAGACATTTCTGAAACACAAGAAGAGGAAGTTCTGTTATATCTATCATCTGTTGTCAGCTGGAATATGATGTGCGTTTATTTAAATGGACAAAGAAAAACTTGAACATGTGGAAAGGTAGGGGAGAATTGGAGCGGGGTCCAATGACTTCCAGACCAGCTTGGTTCTTTCTGAGAGGATCTGGTGTGATCATATGGACGTCAGATTTCTGGATAGCTCCTAATTTTTTTTCTGGCGACAGTTTCCTCTTCTGTCTTTCATCTCTTATATCTACTTAGTCACTCAGGCCAGTGTAGGGTCAGAGGCATACAGATGTTTTTTTGTATGTTTACTTAAAGTTACAGGTAAATTAGGGCAAACAGAAGTTTTAAATCTTTTCAGCCTTATTTTCAATTGCTTTTCTCAATAGACTCATTGTGCACACCTGTAGCCTCCACCTACAGCATTAATGGATCTGAAACAGGCCTGGGCAAGATGTATTTTAGATATTATTTTGGTGGTTTTCTTTGACAATATTGAGTAATATCACAATATAAATATGCTCTAAAAACAAATTGTTGCATGTGGACTTTTTTCTTCAGTTAAGGAAACCATTAGAGGAAATTAAACTCTTTTTTTAGCTAAATAATGAAATTATGTTCTACATTGTCCTCAAATAATGTATGTGCATTTATATATATATTTGCTTGTTGGTACAAAATTTTTTTACATGGTAAAAAACAATCATCAATATTTATTCAGATATACACTACAGTTTTAAAGTTTGAAATTTAGAAAGGATTTTTTTTTTTTTAGTAAAATTATATACGTTTAAAATTTCAATTCATCAAAATCCACAAAACATCTTGCTTTCTTAAGCACAGAATCTGTGTGTGTGTGTGTGTGTGTGTGTGTGTGTATGTATATATATATATATATATATATATATAAAATATTTTTTTTACGTATAATCATAAGCACTTGAGACCTGCTGCTAAAATGCAAATAGATTACATTTATTTTTAATTGAAATGATAATCATAATAATATTATTTAGAGTATTTTTTAAATAAAACATGAGGCATTGTTTTTAAGACCAAAATATTTAACATCATTTGTTTATTTATTTACAATAATAACAATAATTAACGCATTAAATATGTAATCATAGACTCGAGTAAATGAAATCATATTTACCAAGAAAGACTGTGTCATGAAAATAAATTGAACTCGCAAGTAATTTTTTTGGCGCCTGATGTTTACATCTCATTGCTATCTTATTCCCATCAATCTTCTCCTGTTGTCAGGTACAGGCCAATGCAAAACTGGTCCACCCATCTAAAGAGTCCTGCAGCGTCAGGAACACATTGTCCTGAGCATAGGGGTGGAACTCATTAGTGCGATTGACAATTTGGCTCAACCGCTGCTTGCACCAGCTGAGTTAATGCTCAGCAAGCAACATAAATCGCCTGCTCATTCACACACAGACACTCTTAAAAAACAGAACCTTAACATTCGCTTTTCCAAAAGTGTTTGCTTAACTCTCCAAATGATTGTCCTCATTTCTTTTCATTCACTATTCCACAGTGCCTCTCAAAATATTTATAGTAAGTGAATTGCTGCTGCTGACCATGGACAGTCCAGTCTAGCGAGGACAGTTGCCCATGAGGAAATTTAAAGGAGCACTTAGTTTTCTTTCTTTTTTTAAGTCCCCAGAGTTAAACAGTTTAGTCTTACCAATAATTTTGATCCATTCAACTGATCACTGGGTCTGGCAGAAGCTTTGGTGGCTGTAGCAGGTGCAATGAAATTACATAGTGCTTGAAAACAGTCTTTAGCTTGGTATCACTGTACCTAACACAGCCATGGTAAGTAGGACTGTGGGATTTGGGAAAATATCTAATTGGGATATTTTTGACAGATATTGCGATTTCGATTTGATTTGCGATTTAATTTTGTAGTCAAGCTTTAGGTCAGTAATCTGTATCGTAACTTATTGTTGCTAAAATGCAATGAGTGTTAGTAAAAAAAGAAACTGAAAAGTATCAACTTAAACATTTATTCAAATTTATTTTTTTAATGTTCGAAACACAAATAAAGCACAAATAAAATGACCTTACCTTTCTTTTAACAAGTTGAACTCAAATTAGAAAGAGTGTATCTTATTATAAAAACAAAAAATTATATAATAATTATTAACATATAGAACACTAGGCAAACTAACATGGCTGAAAAAACTCTGAAATTGGACTTTTCTGTTGCTTGCTACTAGATTGAGTGTCACTTTCAATATATTCAGTTGACTTTATAGCAAGACTATCACACACAGACTGCAGTCACGCATTTGCTCTGGGCGGGGGAAATTAAATTAAATAAATATATTTCATATCGCAGCCTCTTGCAATTAGCTAATCGCAACATTTCAAATCGCGATTCGATTTCGATTAATCGCGCAGCCCTAATGGCAAGGCTATAAAGTTTATTGATAATCACGCCAGAATGAGAGTATAGTTTCTAGTCATGTCAACCTAGAAAATAGCAACATTTAATCTTCCACCTGTTTTAGTGCCGATGTAAGTACAAAAAACTCAAGCTTTAAAATTCTTAATTTAGTGAGATTCTAATGGTCTAATCTTATTCAATGGTTTATTCTAACTTAAGGTTAAAAAATATTCCCGCCAGACCCAGAAATTGGCTAAATGGATTAAAAAAATGGTAAAACTTAAGTCATAAAATGAGCCTATTTCCAAAAAAGCGTAGAGTTCCTTAAGGTAAAAACTTTGTCACAATATAACATATTTAAACTTTTTTTACTCTGAGAAGTAATGAAGCTTCTGTGTGGTATTGCATGTGACCCATGAAGCAGTTAAGTGTGATTTGTTTATTATGATTAGGTTGTTTAACATAAGGGGACTTTTAAATGTGCCTATTTCCAAAAAAAGTAGAGTGTTGATTTAAAGGATAACTTATAAGGAGTCACACTGAGTTGAGGTATAAGGTTTACCTGCTAAAATAAAGTAAGCAGAATTGAACCCTGACCTCCATTTAACCATGGCCTCCAAGCTTTCATAAATAGATAAAACTGATCTTTCTCACAGTATATCACTTGTCGGATAATATTTCACTCTTTGGCAGTAGCTAAACTTAAGTACCCATGTCTTGGTAGAAAAGAGCAAGCTTTCACAAAATATCTGTCTCCCATAATGAGCATTAATGTTTTTGTTGTTTTTCTTAATCAATTTCTATACGTTTCATCTTGTAATCTCTTAATGTCAATGTTTTATTCTATGTTTTTAGGACTCTCGGTGGCCTTTCGTCAGCATTTCTCTCCTCCCTGGAAACTTCTGGAAACCAGCCTCTCTCTCCTACATCAAGCACTCCCTCCAAAATGTATCCTGAGACTTGGTTACCCATGAACAACTGTCAGGACTTCATGCGGGTGCCCGTCTCCCGGGACGACCGCAGCTACCGGACCGTCTACAGTCTCTTCCATAAGACCGTATCTGAAACTAAGTTTCGCATCCTGAAGATCCTCCGCGTCCAAAACCCCTTCCTCTGGGAAAAGTACAAAAGGTGTGTTGGTAGATTCTCAAACAACGTCTAGATCCTTTGTGCTGTTAACAGTTGTTTAGACTATTTTAATGGGGCCAAAGCAGTGTTTGGTAAACACTGACATAATGAACTGGTTGAAGACAGACAATAAAAGGTTATCTGGACAGATCTTTGTGTCATAATTGTCTTAAAAGTGAATATTTAGCTGCTCCCTTGCTCAACTCTGAGGCTTTGATGTTTGTGCTAATGTTGCTAGGTGTCAACCACGCTAACAGTTCTTACTAACTTAAGTTTTTGGTTGGTCGGAAACAGGTGTTTTTTGTGGTAGGTTTGTGAGGTGAACTTCTTAGCGTGTGAAATGTGGAACACAAAGAGGAAGTGAGTGAGAGAGGACAGGGTGCTAGTGCTGAGGCCTTGTAATATTTTAATAAGACACTGTCATGGAAATAAGGTTTCGTCCCACTCGGCTGGGTATGATAGGTCACAGAAAAGGGTTGAGTCAGGAAGAAAGGGTTGCTGCTGACTCATGAGGTATGTTTGTGCGTGCATGTCTCTTCAATGCTATCTTAAGCATGCGACTGATTAACTAAGCCAGCCTTGCATATTTCCATGTGTCTAGCAATGCACAGTTGGAGTGATTGCGGTCTCTGAATGAACAGTAGACAAGTTTCTACAAAAAAATAAATAAATAAAAATAGAGCTGCACTATATTGGAAAAATCTAACATTGGAATATTTTTTATTTTGCGATATACATGATTCAAACAAATTTGATTTGTATTAAGGTTTTTAGTAATTGATTAATCAAATGTAAAATAATTGTCTTTGTTTGATTAAACAACACAATAAAAATAGTTGTTATTAATTTATTAAAGTTATAAATGGTACAATGTCTTATGCCTGAATGTATTAAAAATCCTCACACAGTGACAGGCCTCAAATAACACTTGCAAATAGATATAATTCAGTCAACATTGCGTTTACTCACGATGAGACTATTGCGAATGATCACATTGGGATATCGAAGCTAAAACAATAAATTGTGCAGCTCTAAGATAAAACATCGATTTTTCTTTTATGCCAAAAAATCTTTAGAATATTAATTAAATATCATGTTTCATGACTTTATGTTGTAAATTTCATACTGTTAAATATAGAAAAACAAAATTTTTGATTAGTAATTTGATTTTGGTTTTTAAAGTTTGAACGTTTAAGGCAATTTTTCTCAGTGTTTTTTTGGAATATAGATAAATATTGGAACTCAGATAAATATTACCCTGTCCCAACCAAGCAAACATCAATGGAAATATTATTAATTCCGCATAAATATTATGTATACATCTCCAAAATGTTAAATTTTTGGCTGTTTTTGTGATCCAGGGTCACATATTGTAATGTAGAAAGTTTTTTTTTTTTTTTTTCAGTTCACTTTCATTAACTATTAATGTTAATGTATTTACTACCATGTAGGGTTGTAACAATATACCGGTATGACGGTTTACCACGATTTGAACGTGCACGATTATCATACCATGAACAATTGCATATCAACGGTTTTAACCCTTAAAGACCGAGACAGCCGCCCGCGGCTAAAAATAAGTATTACTCTTAAATGTTTAATAACTTTTGATCCGCTGATCCGATTCATACAATTCAAAGATTGGCATAAAGAAGAGAATCTCAGCTTTCCAGTGCTGTATCACATAACATTCGCGGACTTTCAGAGGCTCCGGAATCAGTGCGGTTACGTCATCAACATTTGACAATGCTGATTTGACAAAGAAACGCTCGTCACTGTGTCTCCGGACAAACCAGACATGATACATTGATGCATTGTCCCTCCTCCATGCCCAGATTGGTTCAAACTCGCTATATCACAACCAATAAGCATACAACACTGAGCTTTTTGAACAACACGGAATGAGAGATAGGCATACATTTATGCGCGGCTAAATAAAACGCAAAAAAAAAGTTTTTCATGAAATAATTCTCATACTAAGTACTTTTGCATGCACAGCAGCACAGAAACATGACAAAACAGTGACACAGCAAAGACGAACTGCTGCTCTTGCTGTTTTCAAAAGACGCAAATGAAGGCGCAGCTGTTTGTCTGCATTGCAGACAACCATATCCAAATCCATATCCACAGACAACCATATTCATGCTGGCACATAAAACCTGAGGATGTTCCATATTGAATCTAGTTTCGTTATGTAACTATTTATAGTATAGTAAATATTTATATCTATTTTTTACTGAGGATTTGCACCATGTTTATTTGGACTTTATTTGGACTTTGACACATTATTTATTATTTTCTTATTTTTATTTGTTCATTGTAAGTGGTGTTGTTTATAGTAACTAAAAATATATTATTTGGAAAAAGTCAAATTTGCTTCACTGTTCTATTATTTTGTAACATTTGTAACATACCGTATACCGCGAAACCGTCAAACCGTGGTATTGTTTTAGACGATTATCATACCGTGAAAAATTCATACCGTTACAACCCTACTACCATGACATAAGAATGATACTTGTTCAGCATTTATTAATCATAGTTCAACTTTTACTATTGCATTATTTAGATCCAGAGTTAATCTTGTTAACATTAATACACAGTGAGTTAACAAAAACCATCAATATATAGCTTTTATTTTCAATAACTAACATATATCAAAGATAAAGAAGTACTGTAATATGTGTGTTGTTTGTTGTTTGCTCATGCTACATTTACTAACGGAACTTATTGTAAAATGTTACCACTGTTTGTTCAAATATGTGAATACAGTGGTCCCACGTTAATCTAAAAAGTTACGTTCTACAAATAGTGCGCAATAGACGAAATCCACGAAGTAATCCGCTTTATTTTTTACAATTATTATTGATGTTTTAAGGCTGTAAACCCCCTCACTACACATTTTATACACTTTCGTCAGACAGACATTACCATTTTTACACTTTTCTCTCTTGTTTAAGCATTCTCAAGCATTAAGCAAGTTCAAACCTTTGTAAAAAAAATAAATAAGTCTAGTATTATAGAATGAAACAAAAGATCAAAACCATTTGATCTTCATTTATTTATTCTGTAATGACGCCCTACAAATGCGTAACTTCTACCTTCCTTTAGCATGTCCAGACCTTGTGGGGGCGAAAACTTGCAAACATACAGTACAGCACTTCAGAGTCATACTGCTAGCAATCAAAGATTTATGTAAATTTGGCAAGCTAAATGCATTCTGTTCTGTACAGAAGACAGGCCACAGAGGACATTGATCGACAATGGTCTCAACCAGTCAGGACGAAACATGAACCGTGTGATATCGAGGGTCCACTGTACAGATAAGCATTTCTGGAAAGTGATATCGACTACTGACATTTATTTATTTATTTATTTTATGAAAACAACACCCCAATGGACTACAATAAAATTTAATTTGCACTATAATTCTGTAAAACTTTGAAAAAAAAATTGCAATTTTATTTAAGCCAAGAGCAGATCACAGTGGCAAAAACAGACTGATGAATATATGAAACATTTGTATATTTAGTTTTGTCATTTCAAAGGGGAAGTAAAAGTAACGTTCGAGGTTACTAAAGTAACCCTTCGTTCCCCGAGGAGGGGAACGGAAGCACTATAAGTGGATTTGATTGTAAAATCCACGCATTGGGAGGTTCGGTTCAGAAGCTACTCGTCTGAAAGAGTATTGAACGGGCCAATTAAGAATGAATTGGCAGCGCAAGCCTGCGCAGGTGAGCGGCATAAGCAATCAACTGAGTATATAAGCTCACCTGGCGCAGCAGACGCTATCCTTTTTAAGCTGAAGAGACTTTCAACAGCTAAGGGACAGTCATTATGGCGACGGAGTATAGTGCTTCCGTTCCCCTCCTCGGGGAACGAAGGGTTACTTTAGTAACCTCGAACGTTCCCCTTCGGGGGGAACTTCAGCACTATAAGTGGATTTGATTGTAAAATCCACGCATTGGGAGCCCATTGAAAGCGCCATAATGACTGCACCTTACCAACACCCCCGATGAGGAGATAGTCAAGCAAGCGTGACGCACCCACATCATGGGGGGCGCGGTCCTCCAACGTGTCCCTGGCCCTAATTTATCCTACTTCAACAGAAGTTTTACGGATTTATATATATTTTTTGGGAAGTCGTGAGCATCTAGATAATTCTAGGAAAATACGACAGTACGTTGGGAAGCGTGCAATCCCGATAGGGAGGACGCTGCGGAGGCCATCCATTACCCAAGGGGGGATAGATGGCAGAATTTACATATGGACTAGCCCTAAAAAGGGGGAGTACGCATAGCAAAAGAGTGGTTAGCGGGGAGGGAAGACACGGGTCCGCCCAGGGGGGGGGGACTTAACCGTGGCTGAATAAGCATATGGGATCGCCTAGTGGGGACCACGCATAGCAGGCACCTTTACCCAAAACGCGGGCTGACCAGCGGGCAGACCTACAACGTAGTGGGCCAGCAAGTGACTCCTCCGCTGAGTCAGTGCTGGGGGCCACGGAGGAATCTGCAGGGCTCACCTGACGGGGAACTTTACTGACAGATAAAAAGGCGCACGTATCTCCGTGTTAGGGAAAATGGCGCAGCAAGCGTGTTTCAACACCCTACCGAATTGTTTCCTCAATCACCAAGGGTTACCTAATACCCTTGAGGAAACCGGCTCCACTCGCAGATTGTAAAACCTTGCAAATGTGTTGGGTGTCACCCAGCCCGCAGCTCTACAGATGTCTGTTAGAGGGGCGCCGCGTGCGCGCGCTCGAGAGGATGCGAAGCTCCGAGTGGAGTGCGCACGCGCTCTCGGGGGACGCGGCTCATCTCGGCTCTGATAGTGAAAGAAAGGCATCCACAATCTAGTGGGAACTTATTTCGGTACGGCACTTCCCTGCTGCCGACCGCTATAACAGACGAAGAGCTGCTCAGATGATCTAAACTCTGAGTGCGGTCCGGATAATACGCAAAACGCGAACTGGACAATAATAAGGGCTGGGTCTGCCTCCT